GCCATTGCTGCTGCTGCTGCTGCTGCTGTTTTGCAGGTGACCCGTGTGGCAGCAGCAGCAGCTTTGGATGAGAAGTTTATAATGGAAGAGACAAGCGGGGAAATGCATGAGGAGACAGAACTTGCTGCTGCTGCTGCTAATGCTGCGTCAGCAGCAGCAGCAGCAGCAGCAACGGCAACAAAGGCAGCAGCAGCAGCAGCAGCAGCAAGCCAACATGGAGGGGACATTGTGCAGCTGCTGTTCTCAGCTGCAGAGTACTGGGGGCCCCACAAGCTTACAGCAGCAGCAGCAACAGCAGCAGCAGCAACAGCAGCAACAGCCGATGCAGCAGCGACAGCAGCAGCAGCAGAGGAAGCAACTTCAGCAGCTCCAGCAGAAACAAGAGCTCCAGAAGATGGAGCAGCAACAGCAGCAGCACCAACAGCAGCAGCAACAGCAGAAGCAACAGCAGCAGCAGCAGCAGCAGCGGCGCCTCTCAGTGCTGCCGCAGCAGTCTCCACCAATCCATACAGCAGCAGCAGCAGCAGCAGCAGCGAAGCACAGGCCTTATCTTTTGCTGCTGTGCTGCAGCTGCTGCCGCAGCTACAAGCCATTCGAGTCATCGCAGGGGGCCCCCCCTTAGCCCCACAAGGGGGCCCCTTAAACCCTAATGGGGGGCCCACAAACCCTAATGGGGGCCCCCCAAACCCTAAGGGGGGCCCCCTAAACCCTAATGGGGGGCCCCCAAACCCTAATGGGGGCCCCAGTGGTTGTAAGGGGGCCCCTAAGGTGGTTGTTCGCCTTGCCCTGAGAGTCCAGGTCCGTTCTGCTGCTGCTGCTGTTGCTGCTATTGCTGCTGTTGCTGTTGCTGCTGTTGCTGCTGTTGCTGCTGTTGCTGCTGCTGCTGCTGCTGCTGCTGTATTGTCTCCGAGCGAAGCAGCTGTCTGTGTATTTAAAGCAAATAAATATTGTTTTAAATTATTTATTTATTTATTTATTTATTTATTTACTCATTTTTGTTTTTTCAGACAAGCCCAAATTACTTCGCATTTACCCGCACACTTTCTCTCTACCAAAAGAGGGCCCTCAAACCCCTGCAGGCTTTGGGGGCCCTGGGGGGCCCCAGTACCCTTTTGGGGGCCCTGGAGTCTTTGGGGGCCCCCAGTACCCTTTGGGGGCCCCTGGGGGCCCCCGGGGCCCCCTGTGCCCTTTGGGAGGGACTGGGGGCCCTCTGTACCCTTCCAGGGGCCCCCGGGGGG